TAAGAACCAAAGAGAACTGAAATCCAAACTGTCATAGGTCCCTGGTGAGAAGACAAGAGTGAAGCTGGGCATGGGGGCACCCGCCTTAATCCCAGCACTGGGGAGGCAGAGGCAGACTATAGCAGGTCCTTGCTCACCTGTCTAAGCTGGGCATGGGGGCACCCGCCTTAATCCCAGCACTGGGGAGGCAGAGGCAGGCGGTTCCCTGAAACTACTGTCAGCCTGGTATATAGAGCAAGTTCCAGGACAGCCGAAGTTACAGAGAGAAATCCAGTCTTGGGAAAAGAAAGAGAGAGAGAGAGAGAGAGAGAGAGAGAGAGAGAGAGAGAGAGAGAGAGAGAGAGAGAGAGAGAGGGAGAGAGGGAGAGAAGGAGGGAGGGAGAGAGAGAGAGAGAGAGAAAGAGAGGGGGAGGGAGGGAGAGAGAGAAGGAAGGAAGGAAGGAAGGAAGGAATGAAGGAAGGAAGAAACATAGAAATACAACTGAGTATAGAAACTCTACCCAGGAACTTCACAGCATTCATTTTGCAGTTTTAGGAATCTATCTTAAGATTTGAAAATTTTAATGCATAAAATACTTATTATTGTCGGGCGGTGGTGGTGCATATCTTTAATCCCAGCACTCAGGAGGATGTGAGCCTAGCCTGGTCTACAAAGCAAGTTCCAGGACAGAGAAACTTGTCTTGAAAAGCCAAAAGAAAAGAAAGAAAGAAAGAAAGAAAGAAAGAAAGAAAGAAAGAAAGAAAGAGAGAGAGAGAGAGAGAGAGAGAGAGGGAGGGAGGGAGGAAGGGAGGGAGGGAGGAAGGAAGGAAGAAGGAAATGGGATTAGAGAAATGGCAGAATGGCTCAGTGGTTAAGATAAAACCACTTTCTTCTCTTCCAGAAGACCAAGGTTCAATTCCCAGCACTCACATGGTGGCTGATAATCAGCTATAACTCCAGTTTCAGGGGTCTGATGCCCTCTTCTGGCTTCTGAGGGCACCAGGAGCACACATTGTATACAGACAGACAGAAAGACATGCAAGCAAAGCATCCATTCACATTATAAAAAATCAACCTGGATCTGGTTGTACAGACCTATAAACACAACTCTCAGAGGAAGTAGATGAAGGGGGATAATGAGTTCAAAGCCAACCTGAGCTATATAGTAGGATCCAAGCCAGTCTGTACTGTACAGTAAGACTTGTCTTTAAAAAAAGACTAAGTAGCCGGGCATTGGTGGCACACACCTTTAATCCCAGCACTCGGGAGGCAGAGGCAGGCAGATCTCTCTGAGTTCGAGGCCAGCCTGGTCTACAAAGTGAGTTCCAGGACAGCCTCCAAAGCTACAGAGAAACCCTGTCTCAAAAAAAAAGACTAAGTAAATATTAAAAAATATAATTGTCTAACATTAGATAATTGATTGATTACACAACTATCAAGATAGTCAGACAACGAAAGATTGGTGTTGGGGAAGTCTTTTGTCAATAAAGCACTGTTGAGCCAATAGGAATCTAGATAGGTGGGACTAGGAGTCCAGGAGGATTCTGGGAAGGAGAACACAGGGAGTCGAGATGTAACCGCCATGGGGTAGGAAGCCCGGAACTATTCTCCAGTAAGAGAAATACTTAGATTAACAATTATGGGGTAATTACTTAAGTCAGAGCTAGCCAGTAAGAAACAAACAAAGGCCAACAGCTTCATAATTAATATAGCCTCCTGTGTGTTTATTTGGGACTGATGCAGCTCTAGAATCAGGCTGGCAGGAAGGTTTCTCTCAAGGAAAAAGCTTCTCTTTACAAATTGGCACTCATGGAGACTGGAATTTTCAAAGTTTTTAACAGTATGGAAGTATTATTAAGATATAATATATATTGTTTTAAAGATGGAATAAAATGCATTAAAATTCGGGGGAAATTCTAAATGTCAATTGTAATCATTTTGGGGTGTAGATATAAGTGATTCCTACTTTCTTCACTGTTTTCTGTATGTCCCTTATGTATGTATATCTATCACAACACAGATATTCTGTGGTCCTTCCTGAAAGGGCTTGCTGGCTTCTGTGCTGCGGCTGGACTTGAGGTTCACATGCAGCCTCCAACACCTCACATTTCAGACTGTGTAAATTCCTGGCACATCCTAAAGTCCCACCCACACGGTCCTGGTGTATCCCAAAAGGGTTGAACACTCAGAAGATTGAACCTAAAGATCAAATAGAGTTGCTCATTTCACAACCACCTGTTTCTTCAGTAACAGATTCTTTTCCCACAACGACTCTTATCTCCTAACTGCTTCCCTTCTAGACTTGCCACAGCTCCCTCCCTTCCCCTCAAGACTTGGAGGGAGCCCTCTTGAGTTGAAAACATAGAGATTCAAACATAGATTCTAACCAAGGTTTGGGAAATCATTTGACTCACATCTTCAAGCAAAGAGAACATTGGGATGCATTAGAAGAGACCTACTGGTTTAGCAGTCAGTTATTAATGAGGCCCCAAGAAATATGCATGCATTTTTGCTTATTTATTTATATGGTGGCTGGACACAATTGGATGCAGGCTGAGTGTGGCCAGTTGCAATCAAACCTGCCCCATGTAATTCTTGTTCTCTTTAGGTCAGTGGGCTAACCTGGTGTATGCTGGAAAGAACATGACAAGACAAGCCCCACCATGCAAGACTACATCAGGTCCTTGCTCACATGTCTGTTACAGCCCATTGACCGAAACAAGCCACACAGCAAATGCAGAATCAAGGAATGAGTAAGGGAAGAACTGTACAGTTGCATGAGGAAATGTCTGACTACAGGAGGTAGTGAGGAGCCGGAGGCAAGAGTCAGTCCACATAGCCAATAAAGACTAAAAAATTAGCAAAGTGCTTGAGGGGAAAATAATGTACAAAGGGCATATCTTGCAGGCAACTTTTCTGAGTTACTTTCTCAACCTCTGCTGAAAACCAACCCTCAAAGTCCCAAGAGACAATCACTGGGCACGTCTTCTACCAATGTCCTCCAGAGGAAACCTTGGAGCCAGGTGGGTCTAGATGGGTCGGCAGTAATAAACACAGTCCCAGGGAAGAAATCAAATCCGTGGTTTTCTTCTATTCTGGGAATGCTGGAGGATGAAGCATCTCTCTACCTTCTAAAACTATTCCATAAGTCCCACATTGGGTGCCAGGTGAAGCCAGAACCCACAAAAGTATAATAACCAACTTAGTAAAAGGTACAATAAAGAGACAAACTCACAGATACAGAGCAAAGCAGATGCCATCACTGATCCCGCTGCTATCGTCCAGCTTTCTGCCCTGGGGTCAAGAGCACCAACCATGTGCTCTGCCGCTTGGTCTCAGATCACACCAAGCATGAGCAAGAGCAAGAGAGCAAAACATTCCCCCCTCCACCAGTTTATCAGTTGTCACAGACAACACCCTAGGGCTGGTACCCCAGGGCTATAGGCAGGATGAGTTCCCACGGCATTTGCTCATCTACCCTGTACTCCCAATTCCCAGCAAAGATGGAGGAAATAGCCCTCCCACCAGGGTCATGTCTCTTGTCTGTCCTGGAGGTGGGAACTGAGCTATACACTGTTAGATTGCTTCTAAATGAAACATTTGAAGTTCTGCTATCATGGCAAGAAACATTACTGAAACACTAAAAAATAAAATAAAAATTAAAAAAAACATTCGATCATGGCATTAGAATATGTGAAACGTATGGCTCGAACTGTCTCAATGGTTAAGAGTACTGACAGTTCTTCCAGTGGAACCTGGGATACATTCCCAGCACACACATGACGACTCCTAACTGCCTATAATTCCAGTCCCAGGGGATCCTTCTGGTCTCCACAGGTACTGCATGCTTGCGGCACACAGACATACATGCAGGAAAACACCACACACATTACAATTAAGGCCAGGCGGTGGTGGCGCATACCTGGGGAGGCAGAGACAGGAGAAATCCTGTGAGTTAGAGGCTATCCTGGTCTACAGAGTGAGTACCAGGACGGGTTCCAAAGCTACACAGAGAAACCCTGTCTCGGGGGGAAAAAGGGAGAGAGAAAGGAAGGAAGGAAGGAAGGAAGGAAGGAAGGAAGGAAGGAAGGAAGGAAGGAAGGAAGGAAGGAAGGAAGGAAGGGAGGGAGGGAGGGAGGGAGGGAGGGAGGCAGGGAGGCAGGGAGGCAGGGAGGCAGGGAGGCAGGGAGGCAGGGAGGGAGGGAGGCAGGGAGGCAGGGAGGGAGGAAGGAAGGAAGAGAATTAAGAATATGCTAAATGCAGTCTGACAGTTTTTCTCCCATTCCCCCAAATGCACCTTCAAAGCAGACCTGCCCCTTCAACAAGAGCCTGACCCAGCCCTGTCCCACCACTGGGGGACTCCTAGAGGCATCAGAATACAGATCCGTTTCCATGGGTGGCTGAGCAAGTCAGGAGTGTCACCCTCCACTGCAAGTCACAGTGGCCAAGAAGGGAACTCTGAAGTCTGACAGACCTGGAAGGAACACAGACAGTTCCTGACAGTGAAGATCTGTCAGTACTCACTCACCTCACGGCCTCAGACAAATTGTTCAATCCCTCGAGCCCCTCCTGGCTAAACGGGGTCCGCTCAGTAACCAACTCCTACAACAGTCGTGTGGGTCCCAGAGACGAAACATAAAGGTGCTGAGTGTGCTGCTGGCCGCATGCAGATGCCCAGCAGAGCATGACTACAGTCATGGAGCGGAGGAGGGAAGTCTCAGCTCTGAGAAGCAGCAGCCCGAAACCACGGCTCAGGGGTCTGCAGACTCCAAAAGCGCGAGGAAGGGCTTCGGGCTGGTTTGCAGTTTTAAGCACTCCTGAGAAAAATGAAGCATTAGACTGAGAAATGCTGTGTTCTGAGCAAGAGCATGCAAAAGTGCAGGTGTCTGTGAACTTAGATCGGAAACAAGCTCACCCAGCGAGAAGCCAGAAACATCTGTTGTGAGGCCAAAAACACCTGCTGGTATCTGCTGGCTACACCACAGTTGTACCTTCTACACCACCAGCTAAGTTGCCTGGGTTTGGTTTCAGTTTGGTTTTTGTTTATTTGTTTGTTTGAGACAGGTTCTTGCTTTGTAGCCCATATTGACCCAGAATGTACTAAGCAGCCCAGGCTGGCCTCAAACTAGATTCAACCCAGTGTCTGCATCCCAAGTACTGAGAGAGTACAGGTTTGGACCACCATGTCCGACTCTATTTAAACTCATTGAGAGGTAAGGATGCCAGTCGCCATCACAACCAGTTGTTTTCAAACTAACATGTGCCTCCTTCCGGTAAATGCGGTGTTTCTAATGTGTTTCCAGTACCCTTGGTTCAATTTGATACAGATGTGTGGAATGCTTAGGCTGTGGCAGGTGTTTCAGACTCTTAAAAGGCAGAAAACAGCCATGATTTGAATGTCTACTAGGACAACCTCCTGGCTCTAGTGTGCTCTATTTTAAGGACAGTAGGTGCAGAGGAAGATCACGTGGATTGTGGTGATTATGGGTTATGGGACACAGTGGGGAATCTTGATGCTTCAAGTAAGAAAAAAAAATGAGCAAAGCATAGAAGTGAAGACCCCAAACTTGAGAGAGGGCTGGAAGATCCCCGAGAGAGGGAGGTGGGGATGACGCTAGGGAGAGAGAGGAAGAAGGGGGAGGAAGGGAGGACCTGGAGAAGAGCCCCTTAAAATGACCCCTGGCAGGCACTGGTCTTCCTGGTGTGGCATCAGGTCTCGACATGGGCTTCCTGGTTTTCCACATGCAGGACTTGGCAGTTGTCAGCACACAGAAACCAGCTTTTCGAGAACAGCTGCCCCCACTTACGTACATCTCTGCTAGATGTACGTGACAGTTCTAGAACTCCAGGATAAAAAATGTCTGATAACAGACACAAAACTATGTGATTGGTGGGGAGACTTTGGAAGTGGTAGAGAATTATTAATATATTTACAATAGTATAATATGCAGATATCCTTTCCCCTCCCCCCACTCCCCTACGTCTGCGACCCTTCTCAGCTTGCCAGCTCTGCTAAGCGTGCTTTGGGAAACACTCTGAATGAAGTTGTAGGGGAAGGGTTGGCTTAGAGCAGTGGTTCTGGACCTGTGGTGACCCCAACCGTAACATTATTTTAGTTACTACTTCAGAACTGTAATCTTGCTACTGTTATGAATCGTAATATAAATGTCTGATATCTGATGTGCGACCCCCAAAGGAGTCAGGAACCACGGTGTAGAACCATAGGTGTAGAACTATTGACTGATACAAAAGGCACAAAGCCAGAAACAAATGTCAGAGTACATTAAATGTTTCTAGAAAATATGGACCTGATTGATTATAGTCTTCTCAATTTCAACATTATCAGAGAAGTATTAGCTGGTTTAAGAATCCACCCCCAACGTTTCAGTGGTCATTCATCCACTGGCAGTTAGCTGGTCTGTCCGTGTTACTATGACTTTCCAGGGAAGCCATTGGCTTTCTTCCACGTGGTGATTTGGGCCCCAGGCTCCTCACATCTTGTGGGCCTGCCATTGCTGATGTTCTCGAAGACCCCTGTACTGAAAATACAGAGAGAAAGAGTCAAGAGAAAGCCCACCTATGCCTTAAAGGCCTCTTCTAGAAGAGACTAGTCTCTTCTGTTCACACCTGACTGCCAAAGACTAATTACATGACCACAACTGGATAGAGAAGAAACAGACAATGTGATCTTTGCACCTGCTGAGACAGGAATAATTCCACACTGGCTAAGGAAGCAGTTCTGGTAGATAGCCAGCTATACACATGTATGCCTATTAGTAGAATTGTATTTGTTTGCCTACTCCATCCCACGGTAACACGGCTTCCATAAGAACAGGGCTTTTTGTTTTCTTCGCTGAAGAATTCCTAGTTGTTTGAGGAGAGCTTGGATGGGTTGTCTCCATTCAAAGGTTAAAGGCTGGCACCCCCCAGGGGAGGGCCACAGGAAGGGTCAGGGTATGATGACCCAAAAGAGGAGGGTTCTAGGACTCTACAGGAACCCTTTTTAGATGCCAGTGGTCTGCATGTGCCTTAACTGTGGAGGACCCTTGTCCCACAGTTAAGAAACTGAAACTACTCGCTAAATGACAAATGCCTAGAAATTTCACTTGTAAGTAGTTACACAAATAACTAAAAGTATTTGCTCGCACAACTGTATACAAATTTTCCCGAAGCGGAGAGAACTGAAACATCCATCAGTGGGTAAAGGAATAAACCAAACCCACACATTGGAGTATTTGTCCCTAAAGAAAGACTGAGGTACTGATACGGATACATGAGTGAACTGTGACAACACTGTGCTAGTAAAGGACCTGGACACAAAAGGACACAGAATGCGTAATTCCCTCTAGATGCAGTGTGAAGAATGGGAGGGTCCAGAGGAGGAGCAGCCAGGGACTGCCAGGGGACAGACAGGGGGCTGCCAGGGGACAGGCAGGGGGCTGCCAGGGGCCAGGCAGGGGGCTGCCAGGGGACAGCCAGGGGGCTGCCAGGGGACAGCCAGGGACTACCAGGGGACAGCCAGGGGGATGCCAGCAGGTGGGGAAAGTGGTGAGCACTGGAGGGTATGAGCGTCTTTGGGAGTGATGGGAATGTTCTGGAATCAGTGGTGATGGGGGCAGGGGCAAGCCCTGTGACTCCTCTAGAGAACAGACCCATACACACAGGGCGAACTCTGTGCAATGTGAAATCACTCAATGAAACAGTTACTTAAAAGTCTGTCTTTAGACAAGGCGAGAAGCATGGAAGGACTTTGATCAGCCATGCTGACGCAATGAGGCACCCAACAGTGGAAGTGTCGTCGGTCTAACAGTGAGGACAGAAAAGACTCTCATGAGCCCACTGAGCTACATCCAGGAGCTGACTGAAGCTGGAGGCAGCTGCACAGAAAAGAGGTACCAGCTGCCAGGGAGGGGGTGTTATGATAAAGCTTGAGGGGGACTTGGGCGGATTCCATGACAGGAGAGGGTGACCAAGGCGGAGGGACAAACACGCCAGGCAGGCAGAGCTTAAGTGAGAAGTCGTATTAGAAAGGGAGAGGGAAGGAAAGAGAAAAGAGGTCCAGAGACCCAGAGACAGAGAGAAGAGAGAGGTGGAAAAGTCCTGTCTGCCCCCGGGGGAACCGCAGGGAAAAGGGGAGAGGGGAGAAGAGCAGGAAAAGAGAAAGTGTAGGTGGGCGGGGTCTGTCTTTTAAAGGGGTCCTGCGTGTAGATTGTACTCATGGAACCCTGGGCTGACCTGAGTGCATTCTGCCAGGCGACAGGTGCAGGCCAGAATGATGTCTGAATCCTTACGGGGGAATCCAGGTGTCTCCGAACAATCTTTGCCGCAGAGGAGCTGTGAGATGGGTCACACTGTGGCTCAGAAATTCAGTCAGGGAGTTTGTCCTTTTGTCGCTAAAACATGAAGCAAATGGTTGTCAGCACACCGCCCCCCCCACACACCCCCACCGCCGCCAATCTGGGTTGTGCAATGCTGGCCACTGGCTTGACCTCCCTGACTTTTGGTTGTTTTTCTTTTACAATACTAGTAAGTGCACAGTCAAAAGCTATTTCCGTGTACTTGGAATGACTCCCACTGAATCAGACGGCAATGGTAAGTTATTAGATGAGTGATTCAGGTCTTGAATTGAACACTTGGCAGTCTGATATCCTGCCCTATGCCCAACTCGAGTGGGTGTCTTGAGCATTCACTGTGTCCCAGGAATCTAGACATCAGAGTGGACGAGAGAGAGGGGGCGATGTCTTTAGCGAGCCCACAGGCTCGAAGAGAAGACCCTTGAGGCACAAGAGGTAAGGCCAGTGACAGAGTCAGGAAGGGTACAGCCAGCCTAGAGGTGAAGAGAGGCCTCAAACCCGAGCCTGCACTTCCTCCAGGTTCTGGATGACCTGGGGCTAACCTCGCAGCCAGCAGATATCAGAGCAACTTTTTCTGGGAGGAACACCCCTTCGGGCCCTTCAGACCGGAAGTCCAGGAAAGAGGACCTAGGGCATTGGAGAGAGCCCAAACCAGGAAGATTTTTCAGGCCCTCACCAGTGTACAAATAGGAATATCCAGTATGGTGTTACCTTTAGAGGGTTTTGACCATGAAGGGAACCCCCAAAAGGACTTTCTGGAGGATTGATAGCATTCAAAATTTAAAGCGAGACCTTAGGTCTATATGATAACTTACCTAATACATTTGTTTTTTCAACAACACAGAAACACAAACTCTCTCCTTTGTTTTTTCTTTACGGAAGAGTTCTGTGTTCTTTCATTCCTCTCTCTTAACAAGTCATTAGGTTGCTTGTGATATTTAAGCCATAAACTCAAGTTCCAATACAGGTTAAAGACTTCCACCAAATCACCAACAAGAAAGCAGCAGGGCCAGGATTTCAATCAGTTCTCAGGTTCCTATCCCAACTTTTTTATTCCTCTAAGCTAATTTTAAAATAGGAGAGGCATTGATTTTTCTCCAACTGGAGGATTTTAAGGCCGCGATTTGGGCCAAGACAGGTCAAAAAGCACACACAGCTGCTTCTGACTTGAAATTGTTTCAACTCAGGTCAGCCAGGTTGCTTCTACCACACGTTCCTGGGGACCAGGTGGGGAAGCAGTCATTGCTTCCAATACCTCATGGTTGCGTGGAGGAGACGGTGTGCGAAGCTGCCCCTGGATAGGAGGGTATGGGACAGGTGATATGCAGGAGACGCCAAGGCCAGAGAAAGCAGGAGTGAGGCAGCCAGGGTTTCTGTTGCCATTTGTCTCGTGCCCAGGGCTGGGTATAGCTCATTCAGAATACTTTCCTAGCATGCAGAAAAGTCCTGGGTTGGGTCCTTAGCAGTTTAAGCCGTATGGTGGTGCAAAATCCGGCAGTCCCAACACTAGGGGGTGGAGGCAGGAGGGTCAGAAATTCAAGGTCATCCTTAGCTACATAGCAAATCAAAATCCAGCCCTGGCTATGTCAAGACCCTGCCTCAAAAACAAACCAACAAACAAAATTCATTACCTCTATTCTTAGTTATTCCGGAGACCAAGCTGGGTGACTTCCAAATTAAATGTCCCTATTGCTTAATGTCTAAAGAAATGAGTTTTACACATTTCTCTTCTCTTTTTTCCAAGGAACCTCTGGAGGCAGCCTGCAAGTCAAAGGGAACCCTGGGGCTTTATTCATCAACTCCCTCCCCAGCCTGCTAGGGTAACCATGGCAACACTGACCTAGGTTGCTTCTGAGACTGTCAGGTTGTAGCAAGATGATGAAGGGGAATGCTGAACTTCATTGCCAAGGGGCAGAGTTTATGAGATTTCCATTGGATCAAAGTCGCAGGGAAGCCGACTGCTGAGTCTTGTTGAGTGGAAGCAAGATCTCTCCTTGGGGAGCGTCCGGCATGACAGAAAGTGTGGACCAGCCCTGCCTCTCAGCACCCCGTCATGACTGAAGCCCTTCCTGTCTGAGCACTGAGCATGACAACTGCCTGCGTATTGGGGCTGCTTTGAGAACAAATGAGTCACCTGTGTCCAACGCTGTTCACACAGGACAACAGCACTTAGGTCCCACTCTCAAGAGCCCTTCCAGAGCAGAGTTTTGCAAACTGCACGGGATTCTGCTGCTGTCACATCCGCATAAACACCCCCTGCAAGTAGCCCTCTGAAAATGACTTCACACTCCTTAAGTGCTAGATTTCTCAAAGTCCCAGAACAGAATGTCTTTGTCCTCAGAAACCCTGGAGTGACTCCTGAAGCTTCCGTGCCATGCTAGAACAGGCATATTTCGTGTGACAATCACCTCTTCCTGTACTGTCCAGAAAGGAGATTAAGGTGGCTCAGCTTGTGCTACTTTTAGACGGCCCAGCATGCTCTGCACAGCTCCAGTGAGGGTCTGTCTGTCAGTTTGCCAATCCAACAGCACGAAAGACCAACTGTGTGGAACAGAAGCCTGGGAGGAACAGCCATGCAGAAAAAAAAAAACCTCACTATAGCAGGAAATTTCCTGCCCTCAGAAAGAGGCTTCCCAACATCCATTTGAGCACGTAATAATAAATCTATCATTTAAAAAGAAAAAGCGGGAGCTGGGCGTTGGTGGCACATGCCTTTAATCCCAGCACTCGGGAGGCAGAGGCAGGTGGATCTCTGTGAGTTCGAGGCCAGCCTGGTCTACAGAGTGAGTTCCAGGACAGCCTCCAAAGCCACAGAGAAACCTTGTCTCGGAAAAAAAAAAAAAAAAAGGAAAAGCGGGATGGAGAAATAGCTCAGCAGTTAAGAGCACTGGCAGTTCTTGCAGGGGACCTGGGTTCAATTCCCAATGCCTACCTGGCGACTCTGTAATGTCTGTCCCTGGAGACCGGACACCCTGTTTCCCTGGTATCAGGTACTTGTGGTACACAGACGTACACACAGGTGAAACGCCCAGATAATAAAATTTCTTAAAATCTTAAAAGACAGCAAAGGCCAGGGCTAGGTGGAAGCGAAGTTCACCCCTCCCCCTACTGGTTACTGTTTAGCAGGAACTGGGGGGCTTCTTTCAGTGGGTTCTTCTGCTGGGACAGAAACAGGTAGAAGTCTGTGGATTCGGGGGGCAGCCAAGGCTACAAGACCCTGTCTTAAAAGAAAAAAAGAAAAGAAGAAGAAGAAGAAAAGACCAGGGAGAATCATTTTACAGGATTTGAAACTAGACAGTGAAGGGCCCAGACCCTCACCCAGCCCCCTACTTTAGCAGCCATGACAGGCTGCAGAAAAGACTCAGCAAGATGTCGGCCTCTGACTCAGCACATGCCTGACCTTGCTAGGCCTGCCATAGTCACTAGGACGTCAAATACCCTCCACGCGGCAAGGAACCATCAGAAGTTAGCTGGCGGGACTCTGAATGTGCTTTACACTAAAAGAGGCACAACATAGCAACCGCCCTGGGAGGGCCTATAGGCCATAGCAGCCAGTTGACCAATCAACACAGGGCAGGCCACCCAAGCCCGGAAGTGCACCAATCTTGAGACTGTTGTGTACCCCAGACACTCCCCTTAGGCTGCCCTATAAGATCCCTGCCTCGTGGTTTCTCGGGGTCCTTCTCATGCCAGCTGCTTTGTTGGAAAGATGATGAGCCCAAGTTAATGGAGTTAACTCGTTAAACAATAAAAGACTCATTACTTTTGCATTTGAACGGGTCTCCTGGTGATTTGGGGGGCTCAGAATTTGGGCACAACAATAGAGCAGGTGTTAAGCATGCCCAGGACATTTTGAAAAGTTCCGCCATTTTGTTTAAGTGGTGATAATTTCCAGTGATTACCATTCCAGACTTATTTCCTCACAATGCCCCCCTGCGGGCCCCTGATGATAGCTTATCAGTTTCCAGGCTTTCCTTGGCTAAAGACTCACCTGTTGGTGGTCACTGCTAGCAAAGTCAATCCCCAGCTGAAGTGGGAACTTACACACACACACACACACACACACACACACACACACACGCACGCACGCACGCACGCACGCACGCACGCACGCACGTGCGCACACACACTCATTCTTCCCTAAGCCCAACCCAGTTTGTAAGTGACCGGCAAGCTCTGATAATCTTACAGACCCCCTCTGGAGGTTTACATCATAAAAAAGAGCAGAACTGTCCAAAGTGGTTGTCCTTTGTCTTTCTTTCTGGATGACCTTTCAGTAGGCGAACTGCACGTCTTGGCAGCTGCTGGCGGAAGAGAGAAGGCCAAGAGGATTTGAGTTTTGGGTCAAGCCCTCTTGCCAAGACAGCAGGTACGTTCCGTGCCCCAGGCCGAGAGTGGGAATGTCCAGAGGGTTGTAACAAACAAGCAGTCACACTTATGGATCAGTATCCAAAGACGGGATAGAAAGGGAGGGGACGGTGACAGCAACAACAAGCTCTGCTTTGTGCATTTAACCCAGAGAGCTAGGCAGGCTTAGCCGTGAAGACCTGCAAGCAGCCGACTGCATGGCTGCAAGGGCTCCTGGGTGTGGGAGTGACGCACTAGGAGTTAGAAAGATTCCCTGAGAGGCGGACAGTAATGAGGCCATGACTAGATACTAAAGATCCTCAACTTCCAAGGTGGCTCGTTTCTTCCTTACCCTTCTGACCTGAGACAAAAGCCTGGCAGTCCTTTCCTCCCACCAGTCCGGCACCCTGTCTGTGGAAGTTCAAGGCCAGACTACGGTGTCTTTACCCCAAACCGGTGGGCCTATCAGCCTCCATGATGTGCTCTAATTGACCCACCGTACAGGGAGGGAAGAAGGCCGGGCGTTGGTGGCGCACGCCTTTAATCCCAGCACTCGGGAGGCAGAGGCAGGCGGATCTCTGTGAGTTCGAGACCAGCCTGGACTACCAAGTGAGTTCCAGGGCAGCCTCCAAAGCCGCAGAGAAACCCTGTCTCGAAAAAAACCAAAAAAAAAAAAAAAAAAAAAAAAAAAAAAGGGAGGGAAGAAGATTCCCCACCCCACCCCCTCAAGGACCCTTAAAACTTCCAACTTGCCAAGTAGTGGTGGAGCACACATTTAGTCCCAGCAATCAGGAGACAGGGCCAGGTGGATCTGAGTTCAAGGCCAGCCTGGTAGCAAGTTCCAAGACAGTCAGGGCTATACAGAAAAACCCTGTCTCAAACAAACAAAAACAAAACAAACAAACAAAAAAAAACCCAACATGGCCTGGTGGTGGCTGCACATGCTTTTAATCCCAGCACTTGGAAAGCAGAGGCAGGTGGATCTCTGTGACTTCAAGGCCAGCCTGGTCTACAGAATGGGCTCCAGGACCGCCAGAGAAAGCCTGTCTTGAAAAAAAACAAAGAAACAAAACAACCAACCTACTAAACAAACTAACCATAAACCTTCAAGGAGATGGGGCTAGAGAGATGGTTCAGCGGTTAAGAGCACTGGCTGCTTTTTCCCAGCACCAACATGGCAGCTCACAACTGCCTGTAACTCCAGTTTCAGGTATCCGACACCTTCACACTTAACACACATGCAGGTAAAACACCAAAGCACATGAAATAAAAAATAAATTATTTTAAAAACAAAGACATCAAGGAGAAACCAGGCCCCTGCTTCCAGAGTCTTGACACTTTGCATAGGGCAGTGGTTCTCAACCTTCCTAATGTGGTGACTCTTCATACAGTTCCTCTTGTTGTGGTGACCCCAGCCATTAAATTGTTTTCATTGCTACTTCAAAACTGTAATCTTTTAACTGAAGGGACTCCAGCCAGCTTGAGTGTGGCAAGCTCGGCTCTGGCAGGCCTTGACCTTCTCCCCCGTTCCCTCTGCCTTGCTAAAAACCATTAACTCAGAGAGCTGGGCAGGCTTAGCTAAAGCTAGACACCAAGGTCTGTTTCCTTGTTTGACCACTTCCTCCTCCTGAGGCTGGCTATCAAGGTCCAGTGATTAAAGTATTGAAGTCCAGCAATCAAAAGCCCCCTTTGGCTCACCTAATTAACATGCCCAATTAAAATTAAACACCTCATCCTAACATGGGTTCCCCCTTTTACCTTTATAAACGGCCATTTTCCCATGGGCCATGTCTGTCTCCTCTACCCAGATGCAGTCCTTTGGGCCCTCCAGGGACAAATGCCCCTCCCACTCTCCTTTGCCCCTTTTCTTCCCCTCCCTTGTTCTTCTTCCCTTCTCCCTCATCCTCTGCCTCTTGTCTTTGTTCCTTATCCCTGCCCTCTGTCCCTCCGGGACAAATAAATCTCCTTTGTGCTGAGAATTTGTCTTGGGGTGTCATGTGCCAACCTTGAAGTCCCTATGGTCACTGTAATGAATCATAATATCTTTGTTTTCTGATGGTCTTAGGTTACTCACAGGTAGAAATAGGGCCTTGCCGTGTGTGTGTGTGTGTGTGTGTGTGTGTGTGTGTGTGTGTGTGTGTGTGTGTGCGCACATTTCCTCATTCCTAATAAAAACCTTTCTTTACCAGCTGACTCTGGCATGTCTAAGATTTTCCCCACTGTCTATTTTCCTGCCTTTTTTTTAATCTTTTTTTTTTTTTTTTTTTTTTTTGGTTTTTCGAGACAGGGTTTCTCTGTATTGTTTTGGAGGCTATCGGTCCAGCCCAGCCTTGAACTCACAGAGATCTGCCTGCCTCTGCCTCCCAAGTGCTGGGATTAAAGGCGTGCGCCACCACTGCCCGGCTTTTTCCTGCCTTTTAATTCTTCAACTGGCAGAGAAAAAAATGACCTAGATCAAGACCCCTAGACAGTAACGTAGTAAATTGTCTCATTAAGAACATAATTGTAAGCCTGGCATTGTTGGCACATGCCTTTAATGCCAGCACTCGGGAGGCAGAGGCGGGAGGATTGCTGTGAGTTCCAGGCCAGCCTGGTCTACAGAGTGAGTTCCAGGATAGCCTCCAAAACAATATAGAGAAACCCCTCCCCCAAAAAAAACATAATTATTCTTCCTGCCCCCTGAGCTGTCTTCAGGTAAATCAAACTTCATGTGGAGCAGTCTGGCCAAGTAATAGAAAGGGCCAGTTTGATTAACTCTTGACTGAGGAGACAACTGATTGTTACGGTTTTTTGTTTTCCTGTTTTGTTTTCCATTTTTTTGAGACAGAATTTCTCCATGTAACAGCCCTAGCTGTCCTGGAACTAGCTATGTACATAAGGCTGGCCTTGGACTCAAAGAAATCGGCCTCTGGAGTGCTGGGATTAGAAGCGAGTACCACCACCACCAACCCCTGGCAGTGTGTTATGTTTTGATCTCCGAGTCAGCTTAGAATGTCATGTCTCCAGTTGGGGAACCAGCATAAGACTGAACTGGGCCCCTGGACGTGGGTGTCATTAGTTGGGAAGCCTGGGCATTCTATGGGGCCTCTGGCAGTGCAACCAATATTTTTATCCTAGTGCACGAATGGGCTTTGGGAGCCCATTCCCTATGTAGGGATACTCTCAGCCTAGACAAATAGGTCCTGCCCCCAAATGATGTGATAGATTTTGATGACTCCCCCTGAGGAGTGGATGGGGGAGATGATGGGAGGAATGGGAGGGTGGGAGGGAGAGAGAACTAGAATTGGTATGTAAAATAAGATTGTTTTTAATTTAAACAAAAATTAATTTTAAAAAAAGTCATGTCTCCTCTCAGGGCCAAAAGTAAAACCAGACCCCATTCTTTTGACTAGGAGGAGTAGCTCCCCCAATGGGCCTCAACAAAACCATTTCATCTAGCTACTTAAGAAGTGTGTCCAACTTGGACACATATGCTGTCACTTAACTCTGGATCTCTTGCTCCCTCCTTGGCAATAAGGAAAGTGACTGACACTAGTTTTAAATTGTCACTGGTCTGCTGTTCAGGCTGCAGGGCAGCCCTATGGAAGGAAGGATTTAGTTCCCAGCCTCTCCTGTTCTTACGTGTCCCGTCCCCCCTTCCCCCCCCCCGTCCCCCCCCCATGTTTCTTCTGGATTTTGCCATCAGAAATCAAGAATGTCTGCTGTCATAAAAGAGCAGTGGCTGTCTGGAGTAGCCCTGATTGTCTGGAGGAAATTCTTATCTGACCTTTTAGATAAGGGGAGAGTGTTGACAGTCTCTTTACTCTCACTGAGAACAGTTTTGTATTTCAAAACTGACCTTAGCATAAGCAGAGATGGGTTCTGGACTTGAGGATGGTCAAGACAGAACGTCCAGAACTCACAGGTGTCAAGAGCTACTGGTTCAGAAGCCCAGGCTGGGGGAATCACAGTTGTATAGTCTGGCTGGGTTTGGCCACCTTCACCAAATTGCAGCCTGCCGAGGCGAGGAGCCATTTCTTCCCTTTCTCTGACCAGACTTTCTCTTCAATTCAAAGGGCCTGGATTTCATCTTTCCTACTACCTTGGGTCTCCAGAGGCCAGGCATGTCCGGTTTCATAACCCCTCTGCTGGCTCTAAATAGCACAATAGGCTTCCTCTCATCAAGGTGACCTCCCTCCCTAAACGTTTTCTTCTCTGTGCTGGACGCTCCCTGGCCTTTTGCCCTAGGCAACCTTTCTTATCTGCACCCAAGAGGACTGGTAAGTGACTGTCCTTCAGGACACAGTTATAGCTGGGTCAGCCCAGACCAGATCCTCTGAGATAGTGGTGGTTCCTTGTGTTGGCTCTGTGGACCTCAACTCCTCATACTCCTGTTTGTTTGTAGGTTTTGTTTATTTTGTTTTTGCTTGTTGTGGGGGGTGTTGTTGTTTTTTTTATGTTGTTCTGTTTTGTTTTGTCTGATAGATACCCAATTCAGAAAAGGTGCAGCCAACCCACCTTCCAGAATGATCCTGGACTCCATTCTACTTTTGTAAAGGAAATCTGAAAGTTATCAGAAAATGGACATTTTATACCATTCTTACCAGGAAAGGAATGTAGGAGTGAACCCCACAAAGCTATCCGCCCATCAGGGCGGGGACAAGTAAATTAGCACAGGTAGAGATAAAAGGAAGTGAAAGGAAAAGGACTTCCCTTTTTTTTCTCCTGGAAGCCATATTTCTAACTCCTGGTCTGTGCGACTCTCTCTCTCTCTCTGGTAAATAAATATATTGTTTTCCATATATAGCATCGAATATCGTTATAAAGGAAAAGGAAAAAAAAGTAAATACAGCTGACATCGATGGGAAGGTTCCCATACAAGACGGCCTGAATGGCTAACATCAAAGATTCTTCCTGATGGGAGTCCACAAAGACCATCACAACCTTGTACCCAAAGAACTTCTATAAGGACATCTGCCCAGGAACTGTGTTGCCTCAGACCATGTCACTCTTGTTATTCGTCACTGTGGCCAAGGATGGTCATTTCAAAATACCTGGCGTGACCCTTCTCATTCTGTCCATACAGACTTCCCCTTACCTTGCCCTCCTCCCATATGGCCAAAGGTTAGAGCTGTGGGTGAGTAGCTCCCCGCTGCTAGGCTCTGCTGTTCCCATTCTAGCCCAGCTCTCCTCACATAAATACTAGCGTTATTTGATTTTTTTTCTTTTAAGGTTATGTTGACAATTTCCTTTCTTTTTGTATGTTAATGGTTTTAAGCTTCACTGATTCTAAAATTCCTCTCCATCTGTCTGAGCTATTCTAGGAACTTTCTTTGCCCTTGTATAGCTGTCTGGGCTGTCCTGAGAACTCCTGATGTTCTGAGCAGGAAGGGACCGCCATACTGAGTCCCTCCTGGGATGACAGGTGATCCTGTCACATTGCCCGCTTGGACTCCCTGAGTCTCCTTCCTGCGACTCCTGCCCTCACTCTCTAAACATCCATGACAAGAGAAGAGTCATGGATGGGCCCTGCCCTTCCCAAACCTGTTATTGGCTGGGTGGGGGCTTCCTTTGGCTCAGAATCCACAGCCAAGCCCTGACTTTTCTGGTCCCAGAACACACTTTGGCTTCTGGCCTAGGACAACAGGTCACAGACTTCCAGGACGCACATGGGAATGGGCCCTTCCCACGAGATGTGCAGAACCCTAGTTATGAGTTTAATTCTGTTCGGGGAGGTGACAAGCAAAGGCAAGTCTGCAGGAGGTAGGGCAGCCGCAGTGCCAGCTCTCCGCTCTGTCACCACCGGCTCTGTCACCACCCTCTCAGCCAGCCCAGAGAGGGCTATACTCAAGGTCCAGGACTTCCAAATCAGAGCCCACACCCTGGTCTCCCATTCCTTCATTCCTTTAACTTCATAATACAGAAATGCATGAGCACATGGGTATAACTGTGCAGGTACAGGCATGTGTGTTTTACACACACACACACACACACACACACACACACACACACACACACTGCATGATACTCTGTACACAGTGAGGCTCCAAAACTGGGGCTGACTTTAGAATCCTATTCTGCAAGAAAATATAAACACCTTTGAGATGAAGGGTGGTCTCGTCACTGCCATTTAAGGCCCTGAAACTCCTCCCCTAGGAATTCATTTCTTTGGGCCCCCAAGGTCTCTCCGTCTTCAGGGGCCTTGTCTTTCCCCCCTTGAATTGGAAGTAGCTGGAGGAGGGACTCTTATGGCTCCAATACCAATGTTGGTTCTGAATCAGTGTTTCCTATGCTCTGCTAGGATGAGGAGAAGAGTCTGGAGAAGAGGAAGCTGTAAAATCTGTGTAAGCAGACTGGTCCAGTGAGGAGCAAACATCCAGCAGGCTGTCATATCCAGACTGCCTGCCTGGGCCATGAAGAAGATGAGAGACCACCCATCCACTCAATGGACAATGCACCATGATAGTGATTGGGGCTGAACCAGACAAGGTCCTTTCCCTCATGGATTTTGTTTGTTTGTTTTGTTTTTGTTTTTTGAGACAGGGTTTCTCTGTATTGTTTTGGAGTAGACCAGACTGACCTCAAACTCACTGAGATCTGCCTGCCTCTGCCTCCTAATGCTGGGATTAAAGGCGTGCACCACCAACGCCCGGCTGCCCAGCTGCAGGACGCTGTGGAGACAGGCCCAAAATAGTTGCACTGGATAAGTTACTTTTCTCACAGATGTGACAAAGTACCCAACAAAAATAACCTGAGGGAAGAGAAGGGCTTTGGGCTCATGGTCTCAGAGGAACCCAACTTACACCAGAGAGTGAGGAGGGTCTAAATGAGTGGTCCTAGAACTGATCCCTAAGAACTATTTCAGAAATGGGGCAGGGAATACACCCTGGGCAGCAGGAATCATGTACACAGAGGTTCTGTGAGGGAAAGACCCTTCTAGTATCATCAAATCTTTGACCTTCAGTGAACTTTGAACTTGAGAAATGTTCCCTTCTAAAAATGTGCTTCCCTTTCCCTTTCCCTTTGGTTTACCCCTGCAATTACTACCAAGCCAGGCAGAGAAGGCGGACTACACAGGAGAAAGTCATTAAAAACAAGACTTTTACACAGGGGTTATGGCAGCCATTTCATTTCCTGTTTGGTGTCTTTCGCCACAAACCTCCTTAGCCAGACATATTAACCCGGGAAAATATTCTGGGATGTGGGTGTGGAAGAAACACATACTGAGGAGAAACAGCACATCTGTACGCGGAGGCTCTAGCGCAGAAAGTGTGGGGCTAGCACACATAACCGCGAGCCTGCAACAGACCCAGGACTGAGCATCCTGCTCTTCTTATCCTGCAGGGATGTAGGCTTGCAGAGGGGAGGAGGCCCAGTCAGCCAGGGGGCTCGGGCTCCAATCCCATCTCCTGGCCCTCTGGGCTTTACAAACTCTGATCCTGTGTCTTCCACCAAATGTGAAGCAGCGGCTCTGGACCTGCCCATGGTACACACTGTAGTTGAAGCTTAATTGGGCCTGGGGTACAGGAGTCCATTGTGCCTGGAAGAGGAAGAGGAAGCGTGCTGGACACAACTCACCCGCTCTGTTTGAATTTGGCCATGACCCTAGGAGACAAAGACACACCTCTCTGCTTCACAAATGGAGATGCTGGGTATGGAACACCTTGTTCATGGTCGCACAGACACTCTACAGTCTTGCCGAGAGCTTCACCTGGTCTAGCTTCAGAACTCCTCCTTCGTTCCACCACATACAGAGGGATACGCCCATGAAGAGGTTTTATCAAATCCCGACCATGATTGTCAGTGGCCAGTCATCAGCATCTTCTCCCTTCAGCTCGGGCAATGTGTCACGTAGACTCCCTCAGCCACGATCCCTGGGGAAGAAACACATGCTGGGTCCCTCCACCCCATTCCAGAGGCTGGGTTGGTGCATGAATACTTGGGCTGGCACTAAATCATCTTACTTGTGGGTGTGTGCCGTGTTTTCTGTTTTGTTTTCCTTTGGCCATTCCTCTCAGAAATTGGAACAGAATATTTCCACTCAACAACACACCCACACTGCCTGCACAGGACAGTATCCTGTAGTTGGTTACTCTTTGCTCCTTACTCTTTTGACTCTTTGCTCTTGGGGGTACATCCGTCCAGCTTCCAAATAAACACCCACGTAAACTTTTTCTTACTTACAAATGCCAGACCTTAGCATTAGCTTGTGCTAGCCAGATTTTCTTATCTTAAATTATCCCTTCTATTTTTGCCTTTGTGCTTTTTTATTATATATATACCTTTCTTTACTTCTTATTCAGTGGCTGGCTGTGTAGCTGGGTGGCTGGCCCCTGAGGTCCTCCTCTCCTTTTCTTGCTCTTCCTTGATCCTTCTTCCCAGATTTCTCCTCCTATTCATTCTCTCTGCCTGGAAGCCCCACCTATCCTTTCTCCTGCCTTGCTATTGGCCACTCAGCTCTTTATTAGACCAATCAGGTGTTTCAAACAGGCAAAGTAACACAGCTTCACAGAGTTAAGCAGACACAACATCAAAGAACGCAACGCATTTTTGCATGATTAAGCAAATGTCCCAGAGCATAAACAAATGTAACACATCTTAAAATAATATTCCACAACAGTATCCAGGCTTGCTATGTCCCAGAAAATCCTGCTAGCTGACCTTCTCCAGGTCTCAACCAAGCAGTTTTCCAGGGCCATCCTGTCAACTCACTCAGGTCCTGTGACAAAGACTTGAACGAGGGACTCCATCTGAGCAAAGGTGATTTTGTGTCTCTTCAACTCATGTTGTGGAAAGGAAAAAGCCTGGGCTCCACCAGCCTTCTCTCCTACCCCCTGGATGAAAGATAAGTGTGAAGACTTGAGGTCAAGTTATCCTTCTGACAGGGGAACAACCCTGTCCTGCTCACCTTGGAAAGCTGGTGAGAAAGAAACCTCCATCTTGTCTACATCTTAATTTCTGATCCAACAACTTAGAAAAGTGTGTGGATGTATGGGGGGGGTGCCGAGCATCTGTGCTTTTCAAGTATAGGTGACATAACACCTATTTTTCAAACTAGGTAAGGACCTTGCTCTTTGAAACATAACTTAAGGAGCTCTGAAAACACTTCTCAACATTCCCAGAACCTCAAGTTGTGACTCAGGCCACTTGTCCCAAAGTCATTATCCAACCAAGGCCTGTAAGAGCATAAGCCATCCCTCCTATCCACTCACAGAAAAAAACTCATTCTTTCCCCCAAGCTTGTCACATACACCAGGCCACAAAGTCTTGCACCCCGCTTGTCTAGTTTGGAACCCAGGTCTCAGAAGCCCAGAAGCCAAGAGCTGCAGTGCAGTTCCTCAACTCAGGCATCAAAGCATATGGAGAGAACAAAGAGCCGTGGCATCATGGTGAGAGAGAAGAAGATTTATCCAAAGGAGATGAAGAGTAGGATGAACCAGTAAGAGTCAGATCCAAGTTCGAGGCCAGGCTGGGCCGACAGCCTCCAAAACAATACAGAGAAACCCTGTCTCGAAAAACAAAACAAAACAAAACAAAACAAAACAAAACAAAAGTCAGATCCATGCAAAAGACAAAACCTAGAAAAGAACTAAGCACTTGCCTCTTTAATTTCTCTCAATTACATCTTGAAATTTTTACGGTTTAAACCTTGCATCTTTTATTAAATTTATTGTTAATTGTCTTAGTTACCATTTTATTACTATCAAAGGACATCATGACCATGGAAACTCTTACAAAAGAAAACATTTAATTGAGAGTTTGCTTATGGTTTCAGAGGTTAGTCCATTACCATCATGACAGAAGCTTTACTGACATTTCTCTCATGACCCCTGATTTTTGTTTTGTTTTCTTTTGAGACTAATTCTCACTACGTAGCCTTTGAATTCACCTAAGTAGCCCAGGCTGGCCTAGAACTCAGGATGATCATACCTCAGTGTTCTAGTGCTAGGATTACAGTCATGAACCACGATACTCAGCTCAAAACTATGAAATTATTAAAAAAAAAGAATAAGAGTGACTGATCACAAGCTGAAATCTGACTGTGGTTTCTTAGATACAACACCACAACTGCAAGCAACAGAAGGAAAAAAATTACTGAATTCCAACAAAATTAAGACTTTCACACTTCAAGGACAGACAGTGAACATATAGCTCTGTTTCTAAGTCTTTCCCTAGGGAGATGTAAACAAGGTCTACCCTTTCTCCTAAGGTCCCAACAACAAACCTTGGTGTAATTCAACCGGTTTTACCACAGTTTATCAGAGATAACTAATGACTTTATTGGGCTCACTTCCAGAGCAATGGGTGGGAGGTGGGGAAGGAGGTGGGTGACCTTAAGGGAGCTGCCCTGTCTGTCCTGCACCCAGCAGGAGGATAGCTTCCCCCTGGCTAGGTAGATGAAGTCCCCTCCCTTCCCCCTTCTACACTGATAGCCTCTACCCCTTCTCCCAGTACCCTGAGGTCATCTGCAATTAGGACAGAATTGCTCTAACTGGTTGGGAGGATAGCTGGATTCCAGGCGGGTTCCGTGGTCCTCTCTGCCCCCTTTCTAGGACGAAAGGTAAAATAAAATGTCAGCAGGCTCATCTGTGAGGATCTTTGGTAAGCAGGTCCAGATGAGCTCCTAAAGATAGTGCAGTTTGGCTTTGAGGACAGTCCTGTACAACAAGCCCCAAGAAGAGAGATTATTTTTCGAATCACATATCTGATAAGGAACCTGTATCCAGAATCCATGGTGATTTCCTACAACTCAACACTGAAAACAGAAGCCAGTAACTACATAGCACTTGGGAGGCAGAGGCAGGTGGATCTCTGTGAGTTCCAGGCCAGCCTGGTCTACAGAGCGAGTTCCAGGACAGCCTCCAATGCCACAGAGGAAACCCTGTCTGGAAAAACCAGAAAAAAAAAAAAAAAGAAGTCGTCACTTGTTACACAGGAACTGCAAGACAAGCTACTCAGTGAGATCATACTCCACACCCAGGGGACCACTCTTCAAATAGAGACATATCACAATGAGGACCTGGGGAAGTGGGAAGCCTGCACTACAGCTGGAAATGTGACATGACACATTCATGGCTGCTTTTGTGACATTCAAAAGTTCCTCAAAAAGTTGAACACAGACCTTGATTTGACCCAAGAATCCTAGTCTTGTTTATATACCCAAGAGAAATGAAAACAGACATTCGCACAAATACTAGCACATGGGTTCTAATTTTTTTGTTTTGTTTTCTTTTGAGACAGGGTTTCACTGTAGCTTTGGAGCCTGTTCTGGAATTTTCCCTGTAAACCAGGCTGGCCTTGAACTCACAGTGATCCGATTCCTTCAGCCTGGCTTGTGCTGGGATTAAAGGTGTGCGCCAGCATGGCCCAGCTTGCACATGGGTTCTAATGAGAGTGTTACTCATTAGCTCAAAAGTAGAAACCCAAATGCCATCCACTAACTAGCTAATGGTTGTATAAACAGTGGGACATATCCATGTGGTGGAATATTATTTTGCTATTAAAGGGTATGTTATATGGATTAACCTTGAAAACATATTAAGTAACAGAAGACTGCAGTGTGTCATCATTTCATTTAATGTGTCTAGAATAGACAGAGTCACAGTAATGGTGGCTGTAATATCTGTGGGTATGCTAAAAGCCACAAAACTAAAGTTACAGCATGTGAATCATATCTCAGTTTTTTGTTTTTTTCTTTTTAAAGAGAGACCAGTGAGATAGTTCAGCTAGGACAGGCACTTGCGGCACAGGCCCGGTGATTTGAGCTCAATCCCTGGCGCCCATACAAAGGTGGAGGGAGAGAACTACCTTACAAAGATGTATTCAGACCTCCACACACCTGCTCAGTGGTGGCCCTGCCCGAATGGGCCTCCTACACCAATCATTAATCAAGCAAAGGCCCCAAAGGTGTTCCCACAGGCCAATCAGAGAGAGACAACTCTAGTCTATTCGGAAGTTTACAAAACCAGCCAGCACACTTGTGTTTGGGGAACTCGTCCTTTAAGAATGTTGGGACGTCAGCAGCACTATGCCAAGACTGGAGCAAACAGCTCAGCCCTGGCCCTGGGTGAGGATAACAGAGGCTGATGAACTGTTTGTGCTTTTCGTTTTCCTCAGTGGTGTAGCCACTGAGAAGTCGCTCACCCACGCTCAGGCAAGAAACTCTGAGCAAACTCTGGGCCACACACAAGAGGAAGCTGTGAAGTAAGGGGGTGACTTGCTGGGAGGGGCCAAGTAGGAGAGGGAGAGATCGATGAATTGGGGTGTGTGGGAAAACAACTAAACTCATTAAACGTGTGAAACTATCAAACAAAGAAAAAATGAAGTCGAATTCTTAATTTTTTTAAAAAATTAAGACTTTTAAATTTATTTTTATTTTATGTGTTTGAGCGTTTTGCCTGCATGTATGTCTGGGCACCAAGTGTGCCTCTGGTGAAGTCAGAGGGTGGCATTAGATCCCCTGGAACTATAATCAGAGAGTTGTAAGCAATGTTATGGGTGCTGAGAATTCAACCTGGGTCCTCTAGAAAAGCAACCAGTGCTCTTAACTGCTGAGCCATCTCTCCAGCCCCAAGGGGGACCTTTTTTGGGAAATTTTATTTATTTTTATTTTATACGTGCAAATGTTTGCCTGAATGCATGTTTGTACACCAGATGAATGCAGAGGCAGAGGAGGCCAGAAGAGCGTGTCAGATTCCCTGGCACTGGAGTTTAAGACAGGTGTGAATGCCATGTGGGTGCTGGGCATTGAAGCCAAATTCTAGAAGAGCAGCACTGGGACGTCTCTCCAGCCCCACAAAGAAGAAAGTTTTGAGATGCAAGGACTAGAGGGCAGGAGAAGCTCAAGTGAGCACAACCGCCATCCAGAGGCCTGTCACTCCCACTAGAAAGCTGCTGAATGGAAATATGCTGACAGCAATAAGACAGCTTTCAAAGCACAGGTTCCAGTTTAAGTTTTATTTGTATACAAAAATATATTATGATGAGAAAAGCTTATTATGGTCTCCAACTATATATAAGTAATTACAAATATTTCCATAAACGCATCTTAAATTATAGAAGAGCTATGTTTAAGGAGTAGAAACACATTAGATAGATCATCTCCTAAATATGCTGCAGGCAGGTAAACAAAGTCAGTTTCACTGTCTGAGTTGCCCAGAGATAGGCCCAACCGCAGATGTTAGGGGAAGCCAAGAACAGCCTGATGGCACGTGAGCCTTAGCTCTGTCCCCTCCTGCAGCAGATCCAGGTGCTTGGAGCTTTCGGGAGTTTCACTCTTGTGACCTAAGGACCCTGAACTCCTTGCTTCACATACCTGGAAAGAAGAGACAGAATTAGTTAGTCCTGCCAGGCACTGCTCACAATCCCCAAGGTTATCACATGGGTTCAAACCAGCATCAAAAGCAAGGTTATGGGCAGGCTTCCTGTGCAGAGTATGTCTGGCTAGCTGGAATGACTAGGAGGCCAGCTGCAATTTGCATGGGCCTAATACAAATTGTGCTGCAATTAGAATAATCTCTGTCAAAACAGACCTAGGTCTTCGGAAGTAGGAAGGTACAACACGGAAGGAAAGGGGGCAATAATATTGTCAAGCAAATACTGAGAGTGATAAAACCCTGGCTATTTTAAATAGACAATTTAACTTTTCGATCTAAATTTTTAGATTTTCCCTATTTGTCAGAGTAAAGACATAGAGTACTTCTTACAGAAAAAGATCAATTTCACTAAATAATGAAGAAGCCAGAACAAAAAGTTCTTCAGGGCTTAGCAAGTCCCTATGAGGAAAGATGCTGAGGCCAGCAACCCTACAGGCTGGGACTGAGTCTCCTGCCTCCTGCAATCTTGTCCTTTTGAAGACAAGCCCACAGGTAAGAGTGTGACAGTTCTTTCCTCTGACACCCCGTACACGCTAACCCCAAAAGTGTTGCAATTTTGACCTGATGTCTTCAGTTTGGGGTCACACAAAATGGATAATCAATATCGTAATCCCCAATTAGAAGCACATATCTGCATACCAAATCTGGGTCACTGGCGAGTTAGCATGGCTATCCCAGACTACTTCTCTTTGGCACCCAACCCTCACAAGTCTCACCAGGCCCTTGCATCAAATCTGGGGAATTACCCTTAGGGGACAGACCCCTCTGGGCTTGCTGGAGGAATGTGTGTGTGTGACCAATCAGCTTGTTCCTTCTCTCAGAACTGGAAAACCATCCCCACAGCAAAGTTCTCTCTCTCTTCATTTTCTAAACAGCATGCCTTTGTTGGCTGCTGACCTGTTGGCACAGTTGGGAAAGCAACTCTGGCTACCGTCCTGTAAGCTTATCCTCCAAACTGCTTTCTGAGCTACTGAGATCCTGTTTCTACACCTAGAGCAGTTTATGGTGTAACCTCCCAAGTCCAGGCAAGCTGGAAAACATCACGGCACATTATCAAAGGTGTGGCTCAGCATCCGGAGTGACATTTACACACACACACACACACACACACACACACACACACACACACACACACACACACACACACACGGAGCGTGTACTCACTTGCTAACGTCCTGTCAAGGTCAGCAATGAAGTCTTCCAGCTCTTTTGTGTCACCTAATTTGGCTGCAAAACAGAAAAGAGTTCAGTTTCCCTCTCAGGCACAGCTGGTAAGGATTTTTCCAGGGATTATCGTTTTCACATGATGAAAAGCTGCCCTGTGTCTTCAGAGACCTCACGGAGCATGCGCTGCTGCGGTGCTTAGCGTGTCCTCCACGTTTACTTTTGTCTCAGCACCTGACCTCCGTGTTTGTCCTGTAGTTCACTACCACGCTAACTCACCATCCTACCCGCCTTCCAACCTAGAAGATGGATCTTTTCAGTGTCTTAAAAGTCTGGGAGCCGGTGAGGGAAGGAGCTGGAGAACAATACAGTAGCCTTCCAATGTGACATGAGGGTAAAATTACCACTATTCCGTGTCAGTTGGAACAGGGAACATGACAGCCCATAGCACAGAGCTTTCATATAGATATTGTTGTCTCTGCAGCCAGAGGTTTATGCTTTCCTTATGTGGTTTACTTTCTTTTGTGTAGTTTGTCACTCATGCCTTCCTTGAAATGCATTGCTGAATATTTTTTCTCCGCTGGCTACAAACGGTTCATTGTTCTTTGCCTTCAAGTCCACTTAGCACAGTGGCTTTTTTTTTTCCTTCTGTAATTCCCACCTCTGGAGGATTAGGTAGCAGAGCTGGGCACTGTTTAAGCCATTCTCTAGACTGTTCTATCCCTGGAGTTCACAGATCCATTACAGATTGGAGGCTGGACAATGGCCGATTCGAATCCCCTGTGGCTGCTAACATTTGTGTTGAGAAGAGAACTTAAAAATATCTCTTCCAAGAAAGGGAAGTTCTGTTTGATTGCCAGATGGAGACAAGGGAGGGGATCTCATATTTCTTTTAAAGTTGGTTCCATTTTTATTGCATTTTGCAACTATGTTCAGCAAGTTCAGTTTTCCTTAGAGGGGGAACCTCCTTTTGTTAAAAGGGCGCCTCTCCAGTTTAACAGAATGGTCAGTTCTTTAGCTGGTGAGACTTAGCCAGTTCCAAAAACTGAGAACCCATTCATGCTCTTTTAACCCTCGTTAGTCTATTAATATCGAAGCAGAGACAGGGTGGAGCTGGTGTTTTGGATCATGTCCATTTTATTTTTAAAAAACATTTATTTAATTATTTATTCGTTCATTCATTCATTTGGTATGTGTGTATGTATGCATGTGTGAATACACGTGCCCATGTAGAGATCAGAGGATGTCCACCAAGTAGGTTCCAGAGATGATCAGTCTCAGTTTGTCAGGCTTGGCAGCCATCACCCTTACCCCCCCCCCCCCGAGTCATCTCAATGGCCCTATGTTAGACCATTCTTGTCTCATGATGACAGCCGCGAGGCTGGTCACCAAAAAGCACTGGTGTAAACAGCTAATGAAATTAAAAAGAATCTTCTCATTGCTGCAAAGCCAAACTGCTGAGTCTTACATTATGAAACCCAGCTGGCCCAGGAGGAAAATGAGGAGCACTCCCTTCTGCCACAAGACAGAATCTCCATGAGGCCAAAATCCCAGGAAGCGATTCACGCTGTCTTCCAGAGCTATGTGCTTTGTACACTGTGAAAGCCTGGTTGAGGACAAGCAGAGGGCGGGGAGGGGGGGAAGAGTCCAGTTGGTGAGCTCACCTTTCCGAGGAGCGACAGTGGAGGAGAGCAGAGCTGGAGTGGAGTCGGTTGGAGAATTCAGTTTCTCATCACTGAAGCTGAAGCTGTCCCTGTACAGTGAGTCTGCACCTTCAAGGAAGGAGGCCATGCTCATTAGGAGGTGTTCTCGCTAAACCATAAGGAAGGAGGCCATACTCTTTAGGAGGTGTTCTCGCTAAACCATAAGGAAGGAGGCCATACTCTTTAGGAGGTGTTCTCGCTAAACCATAAGGAAGGAGGCCATATTCATTAGGAGGTGTACTGGTTCAACCAGACACTCACCAGTCTGTCCACGGTACCCAGCAGTTAACCTCTCAAGAACCAGATGTTGCAGGTGTTAACATTAAAGAAAACAGGACCATTTCCAATCTAGGAAATGATCTAAGGCAGGGGAGTATGTGTATGTCCATGTGATTGTGTGCATCCTGTCCATGTGATTGTGTGTATCCAGTCAAGTACACTGGCAACCTCTAAAACAGTGTGGTGGGTTAGTAGGACCAGAACTCTGCTACATGGGAGTCTACTGGCCAGCTACCAAGCCAGGTCATGGCTGATGGGATGAGGGTTTGAATATGGTGTGGCTTGGTTGGTAGGGTGCTTGTCCAGAAGGCATGAAACCCTGTGTTCAATCTCAGCACCACATGAATTAGACAGGCAGTGAAAGTCTAGAAGTTGGACACACTCCCTGGTAGGCAGACAGACAGGCCAAGGGGCTGTGGTTAGACATAAAGGAGGTGAACTTCCTCAGTCTCCTAACTTGAGACAAAAGCCTGGCAGCTTAAAACAAAGGCCTTGCAGACTTTTGTCTCCCACTAGCAGGCCCCCTGAAGATGGACAGGGAAACAAGTTCAAGGCTGGACCAAGGACTTGATACATAACACAACTGTTCTGGGCCAGTCAGCCATCCTGTCCTTGTTCAAACTGACCAACCCGAAATAGGGGAGGAAAATTCTGCCAACTTAAAACAAACAATAACAACAAATCAACCCCCCACCAAGAGCTTGAACTTTTTTTGGCCTCTGCTTGCCAGAGGGTCTTTTTCTCTGTGTCTGCTTCATGTGTGTTTCCTCACGTTTTCAACTGCTAATTCTGTGGGCTCCTGTTTGCAATGTTTGAGATTTCTCTGCTGCTCCTGTTTCAGTAAAGACCCCCCCCCCAGCCTTTTAATTCTTTAACTGGCAGAGAAAACGAACCTCACCAAGACCACAGCTCTCTATTAGTGGCACACCGGTCAATGTACACCAGGCATTCCAGCACTCAGGAGGTGGAAACAAGAGGATCAGAAACCCAGGGTCACCCTTAGCTGTACTCTGAGTAAATACATGAGACTCTGTCTTCAAAAGAGAAAAAAGAGGCAGGAGACCAGATGGGGTAGACAGGCACTAAAGAGATGGCTCATCGGTTAAGAGCTGCTTTTTCCAGAGGACATGGGTTCAAGTCCAGCACCCACCTAGCAATTTAAAACAATCTGCAACTATAATTCTAGGGCAACAGGCACACAGTGGTGCACAGACATACATGCAGGCTAAACACATACACATTAAAAAATGCAATATCATTTTTCATGAAAAGTATTCTCTTTCTTCTAATCATCTTTCAAACATAAGCACAACGTTGGGCCCCACATCTAGTAATTTCCCTCATTGCTCATGAATCTTGATCACACAGTTCCCCAAGGTTCTGCACTGTCTCTGACAAGCTGAAGTCAAGAACAAAGATTGTTTTTGTTCTTGGCTGTTCATCCGTCACGATCAAGGGACTTCACAGTTCCTTCTATTCTTATGTCCCAAATGTCAAAGCAGCAGCAGGCAAAGTCCCAGCCAGGCTGGGCTGTACCAGGGTCAGGAGCAGCTTAGCTACTGCTGTTTTAGGGTGCTTGAAAAGACCATATTCTGGGCCTCAGTTTACCCATCAATAAGATGGAAAGGTAAATTGGACAATCTTTTGAGTCCCTGCCAGGTCTGAGATTCTAAATCCTGTCAAAAAGAGGAGGAAGCCAGCCCTGCTCTGAGGAGGTAGCGGAGGCTCAAAAGACAGAGGAGGTTAACGGAAGCAGGATGTGGCCCCAAGGGGGTGGCCAGGGAGGAAGCCACTTTTCTAGTTAAAAAAACGGAAAACAAAGCCACTCAGCATGCAGTAGGAGCTCTGGGAAGACTCCTCAGGTTGAGTTGCTGAATAAAGCGGTCCTAGCCAGGTCCCTGCTCCCCCTGGAGGCTCCTGTCCTTCAAGCCATTTCTCTCTAGCTCAGGCTGAGGTAACACATCTTGCTTTAGTTCGTTAACTCAAAATGAACTTGTCTAAACTATTTTGTTAGCATGCTCAGGATAAAAGGAAATCGGGTTTCTGAAAGAAGTTTCTGGTCATGTGAGAATTGGGCGTATCCCTAAATGGCTGCCACACCTCCTCAGGTTGTTTTGTCTGGCTCTATGTCCTCTGCCCTCTGACCAGAAGGACCCAGGTGCCCTCTCGTCATCCTTTCTGGCCTGTAGACCCACCTAGCCCACGTCTCCAAACATGCCCAGCAGAACCTCATTAGCAACCCTCATGATCTTTTCTTCCCTTGAAGAGTTCCAGCCCAGCTCACTTAAAGGGTTACAGTCATTTCTCAGGGCTTTGATGATGAACCCATACTGAGGTCCTCAACACTGAACCCTAAACCCGTATTCCCTGTGCAAAAATATAACCAACCCCCACCTCTAGAATCCAGGTCCTTGACATGTGTGAGCAACTATGTCCGGGCAACACCAGGATCACTGTTGATGACTCCCACCATGACTGCCCCGAGAAATCTTGAGATGAAGAAACAGGTCTGGCCCTAGCCCTTTTCCCATGTGTACGTGACGATGGGACACTTCATGGCCCTCCTATCAATATCTCTTAGAAAACTGGAACTCTCTGGAACTTGAGCTGGGAGCCCTTCTGCTTGTTTTCTTCAGCTGCAGAACAACAGTAGCACTAGCAATCCCCTGCACATGGGAAGTACCCTCACATCTGTTGCCTGGAGGAGCATCACATTATCACTGTCAATAACCAGGGAATCACCACAGATACAGAGGAGAAACATATGAAGAGAAGACAGAATCATCTTTGGGGGAAAGAAAAATCACCCAGGGACCCAGGGAAGCAGGCTATGACCCAGAAGGAGAGAAAACCAAACCCCCTGTCACAACATCCTTGTCTCTGAAAGAGATCCAAGAACACTGTCTCATCCTTGGACCAGAGATCCAGCTCTGAGACTCACTAATCCAGAGCTTAAATGGCACCGGCTCCCTGCTCTCTATCTCTCAGAACAGCTGGCACTGGGGAGCCACTTTCAATACCACACCTCATGCCACCCCACCCTGCACACACCACCATCCTTCCCCTAGCTCTGAACTTCATCTCTGTTCTGCTCCAACTCTCCAGAAATTTTATATCCATATTATAATTGTGCCTCAGGATTAGGGATTGGGGGCACAGGAGCTTGGCTCACCTTCCAAGCAATTGGGCCAACTACTATTGGCTGTTTACAGAAACAATAGCTCAACGTGGAAAAGGCCATTGCGAAAGAGAATGACAGAAAAAAAAATTCACAGAGGAGTAGGGGAGATTTCAATCCAGATATCATGGAGAGAGAGGCCATTAGGAAGAGGCCATAGTCTCAGGGGACCATTCTGGCTTGCCTTTGACCCTTCAAAATCTAGTCCATATGAAAATCCCTTAGCCCAAGCCCTTTCCTCAAGACCAGAAAATAGAGGCAGAATCCGATTTTTACATGACAAATAAACTCAGTTGTAAGCCAGACTGTTGTTAGGTCTGTAGTTGCTTCATTGCTTATGAACTCATATTACTCTGCTAATGAGGGAGGGAGAGAGTATAAAATACCATATCTATATACACACAGAGGCAGGTTAGCACAGCCTGTGTTTACTTCCCTTCTCCCTACACACACACACACACACACACACACACACACACACACACACACACACACACACACACACGCCCTGTCAGCTCATTGCCACTCCATGGTTCTACCCTCTTTTCGTGTCTTTGAATACTTTAGGCCAATTCCAGGCTCTAGCGTGTTTGACCTTCAACTATGAAGAAATAATGAACTCCCAGGATCTTTGGCCAAGTTGCCCTATCTAGATCCACCTGTGGCAGTAGTTTACACACGGCAATGAATGAGGGCCAGAGAACAAAGGAAAGAGCAAACCCAAGTCCCAAGTCCCTGAAGCTAAGCCGCTAAGGTGAAGGTGGGGAGCAGGGGCCACGTGAAAGGCAGTAACCTAGGCACTCTGTGTATGATGCCTGTGGCTTCATAATGGTTGGATTTTCAAGTTCCTAACAAAAATGGAGAAGAGCATGTACAGAAAGAAGGGGATTATCATTGAGAAAAAACAAGCAAGATCCCAAGCCCTGGCTTCCCGCTGTTTTCAGATTGCAACAATTTTTTTTGAAGTTTCTCTGCAGAAGTGACCACAACACAGAGATACCCAGACCTTCAACTTCTTTACCCAGTATTTTCTCCCACAGGCTTTCATTAAGAGGCTGTCTGAAGGGAATCTCATGCTGGAGGTTGTGGTAGATGACTAGGTAAGCAAGGTTAAAACTCCTGGTCTGGTTTCTCACTTAGAACTGTAGTTCTTGCAAAAAGTAATATTCAGCCAGTCTGATAAAATGCCAGCAGTGTGTCTCTGGCTGATAGCACATATATGTACCGCTACCCCACCCCGCTCTCTGGCATCGTTATTAATTGTTATGATCAAGGTACTCAGCAGCGATGACTTGGGGGAACTTCGTATGTCATAAAGTAGACATCTACTTCAGACTGCCTTGAAGCCCCACCTTACTAGTATCAAATCCCTACTACAAGTCTCAGATCTGGGACTGAGGGTCCTAAGGGACCATCAAAAGAAATAAAGGCATATTACATCCACACCCCCTAAGTTTAGGTATGCCCAAACATAAGAAACTCCATAGTTTTGTTAAAAGAAAGGCATATGTATGTATGTATGTATGTGCATATGTATGTATTTTTTTTAATTTGGGGGGTTGGGAGAAAAGTAATTTAGGGTTTAGAACTGACAAGTGCTATTCCAGAGAAAAGGAAAACCACAGACAGTGAACCTTGCCCAGAATGCCTGTAAATATAGAACTATCCCACACATCTGCAGCAAGCAAAATACAGTAATTAACAAGAAAAAGAAAGTCCTGGGCCTGTGTCACTGTCCCCACGGGGAATGAAAGGGATGAGGGTCTCTCTTCTACTCCAAATCTCCAGTCTGACAGTTCCAATGAAGCGAGGCACAATGGGAAAGAGTCCTGGCTCAGTTTGACCATTGTGCCCCCCCTCCCCTCTGGAGTAGCTCTGCCCCTCGAAGAACATTTGCCAAGTATTGGGATATAAAAGCTGCGATTCACTCAGCTCCCAACATGGTCCCAGGCACCGAGAGGGCACCTACCTGGCCTCAGCCTCTCACATCTTGACAAGATCAAGCTCCTGGCCTCTCAGCTCGATTAACCACTGGTTTGTTAACTGTCACTCTGGTTTCTAGAGTCCCTAAAGTCTTCTCTCTAGGGGCCAGACCAGAATACAAGCCAAAATATTTGGAGGTTCTAAGTCTTGCTAGGCTAAAGAACCCAGTTCCTTATTCTCCGCAAATATCTACAATATCATCATATCCACAGCATGCATAGTAGACCTCAGATCTTTCCTATTAAATAGCAGAACACTTCCCCTCTCAAAAGATAAACATTCGTGAAACTTCAACATATAAGGATCATACTGGGTTCCATCTTTTAAGTCAATATAATAAACTGTTTAGAAAGTCAACAAGAAGAAGCATACATTAACAGGCATGTTAAAATTTGGGATATAATGAGTGAAAATTTTATTAAACCCACTTAAAGACTCACACTGTACTTTCAAATAAAAAAAATTACTGAAAAAGAGCTGGGCGTAATGGTGCACACCTTTAATCCCAGAATTTGGAAGGCAGAAACAGGAGAATCTCTGGGAGTCTGAAGTGAGCCTGGTCTACATAGTGAGTTCTAGGATAGCCAGGGTTAAGCAAAAAACAACCAAATACGTTCAATTTCTGTAGCACCTCAAAGGGTAAACCCTGAAAACCACTTTCCTAGCTCCCAACTGCCTTGCCCTTTTACTCAGACATTTAAAATTGTTCCTAATAAAGTGCTATGGGAAAGACACAGCCCCTTTTAAAACCCATTCTCATGACTGCTGATGTGAATGTGAGTGTGTGCGAGCATGTGCCCTTGGAGGTTAAAGGTGTCGGATCCCCCGGAACTGGAGGAGTTCCTGGCATTTGTGAGCTGTCCAATATGGATGCTAGGGAGCCAAAGTCTGGTCCTCTTGAAAAGCAGTACCTATTTTTAACCCCTATACCATCTCTCTGGTTCTACAACCTAAAATTTGTTTGTTGAGACAGAGTTTCTCTGTGTAGCTTTGAAGCCTACCCTGGAACTCACTCTACAGACCAGGCGGCCTCAAAGTCAACCTAATTTTTTAGGGGAAAAAAAGGTATTTTTCAACAATCAGGAATATTCATCACCTATGTCCACTGAAAGCCTTGAAAAGGACCTGTAGAACCATGTATAAAGACACATGATCTGAGCACAACGGGGCACCAGGTTACTCCCAAGTTCTGGCTCACATTCTAGCCAAGCTTCTGTGATGACAGAGCAAGGCCACAGACGGCCAGCCTGTGTTCTGCTATTTTATCAAAGAAATTAATGAAGATCAAAGTGCCTAACCCGTGGTAAGGATTATGTGTGATAACATTCAAAGAACAGCAAGAGATGACTGATAACAAGAGCAAACAAAGTTTGATTAAAGCAACCTTAGCAAGGTCTTTGTAAAAGTACGCTAGCTGTCTGTCACTGCCATCATTATAAACCTGGCTGGCCCTCCCTGGAGAGTTAAATTTCAGTGGGCTGCACCTCTCCCAGGCATTCTCCTCCTTCTCGCAGACTAACAAATGTCTGTGCTCCATTCCTGGAGACAATTAAGACATATGTATTCTTTGTCCTTAAGAAAGCATCATTTAGCTGGGTGTTGGTGGTGCACGCCTTTAATCCCAGCACTTGGGAGGCAGAGGCAGGCGGATCTCTGTGAGTTCAAGACCAGCCTGGTCTACAGAGCTAGTTCCAGGACAGCCTCCAAAGCCACAGAGAAACCCTGTCTCGAAACCCCCCCACCAAAAAAAAAGCATCATTTAGCCAGGTGTTGGTGGCGTACGCCTTTAATCCCAGCACTTGGGAGGCAGAGGCAGGCGGATCTCTGTAAGTTCAAGACCAGCCTGGTCTACAGAGCAAGTTCCAGGACAGCCTCCAAAACAATACAGAGAAACCCTGTCTCGAAAAACCAAAAAAAGGAAAGAAAGAAAGAAAGAAAAAAAGAAAGAAAGAAAGAAAGAAAGAAAGAAAGGAACTGTCTCTAGTACATTCTCTTTCTAAGACTCCTAAAAACACATCCTAGATCTGAAATCCCTCCTGGCAGAACTTGGGGTGCTGTCTGCCATAACTGCATTCAGTCAGACCCTAATCCAACAGGCGGCTCTGTTGTGGCAAGGAGCTGTCCTTGGCCACAGGGCAGGGGTAATAGACCCGGCCTTGTGTTTTGTGAAGAACAGAAATTACACATGACGAATAAATTGTACATCAACCCAATGGTAGGAGATATGCTCAAACTATGTCACAGGTATTGAGGCAAATTTCCAATGCAAGGCTTCGCTTGGCATGCTGGGAATAAGCAATCAGGTCATTAGCATCGAAATGCAAAAGTTGTAAAAGGAGCGGAACAGCTCGTCCCCTCTTCCATCCCCCTTCACCTCCTAACTCGCACAGAGGTCTATGCAGGCTGCTATGGGAGACCAGACTAGAGCTCAGGTTTCTGACTCAAACCCTGACCAGGGCGTCAGCCATTAGCCCTTCCCAGGAGGGCAGCTCAAGTGCAGGTCTTACATGGAATCTTCCAAAGGAAGAACTCTCTAGATTTCAAAACAACAACAAGCCTTTTACTCCCAGGATCAGGGGGTGATGGATCTGGGGAGTAAGTGCTTATGAGCAAACAGAATTTAAAATTCACATTGAAAACAGTAGGTAAGCCAGGATTTGAAAAACAATTATGTAACAAAGTCTCTGAATTCACTGTTGGACACCTAAACAGATATTCAGAATCTCACAGATCACTGGAGTTGTAGAAACACAACTCCACCCCAACCCCTTAGCTTTCTACAGAAGTTGTTAGGCTAGACACATCGTGGAAAAGGTTGCCAGGATGAACCCTTACTGGCAACCTGGAGGGAGGGCCTGCATGAGACAGTACTTGAACTCAGAAGTCCAGGGGGAGGATTGTTTCAAAATTGCCTGGAGCTCAGAAGAAAGTGAACGAAGTTATTTCAGAAATTCCAAAATCGGCAGCTTATGAAATCATTTTGGTTTCACAAATGTTTCATTATTGTGCTTGCCCATGTCCCAAGTCCCCCAACACTCATTCTGGAAAAGGAAAGGGAGGGTGCTGTTGGTTTAGGGTTGACCTAGAGGGCAAGTAGCCCCCAGGACTGCCTATACCGGACATGCTGGCACTTCTCTGTGATCCCAGCGCCCTGAAGCCCAAGGAAGGAGGGTCAGAAGTTCAAGATCATCCTCGGGGACACTCCTACCCAAGAGAGGGGAGAGGGGGGAGGGGAGAGGGGAGAGGGGAGAGGGGAGAGGGGAGAGGGGAGAGAGGGAGAGAGGGAGAGAGAGGGAGAGAGAGGGAGAGAGAGAGAGAGAGAGGGAGAGAGAGGGGGGGGAGGGAGGGAGAGAGAGAGAGAGAGAGAGAGAGAGAGAGAGAGAGAGAGAGAGAGAGAGAGAGAGAGAGAGAGAGAGAGAGAGAGAGAGAGAGAGAGAGAGAGAGGCAGGGAGAAAAGCGGGGAAACTGTTGGAAGACCTGGCTGGGGTCCCAGGAGTTCTTGCGGATTGCACAAACCCTCGGGCCTCATGACAGACACCTGCCATGACAGGCAGACCCACAGTCCTTCAAGAGTTCCCGAATGATTACGGTCATGCCCCCCCTCCCCACACACACACCTGAAGTTAAATCTCAGAAAGTCAACTCTCCAGGCTTCTCAGAGCCGGTGCGGGGCGTCGGGTCTGAGTTTCCTGGACACCGAGCCTCAGTTTCCAGATAACCCAGCTAACCTAGGCCCCCCTAGGAAGCCTGGGCCCTGGGGCCACTGACTTCATCAGGGCCTCACTTACTCTCCGAGTCGCTGAAGCCGCTGCTGTCACTGACGCTGGCGCTGCTGCGCCGCTTCATGCGTTCCAGGTGCTCCTCATAGTGGAAGTGGCGGGCATGGAAGGGCGACGCAAAATCGGCCAGCACCGCGTCGAACTCGCACAGCACGTCCGTCAGGTCTGCGGCTGCCGCCGAGTCCATGGCCGGGCCTGGGGGCGGGCACAGCGCGCTCAGTTGATGGGAGCGTGGGTAGGGGTGCCTCTTCCCCTGCCCGCGGGGGATCTGGGGAGGCGGCCCCCCGGCTAGGACGGCTAACCTCACTCTCGCTGGCCAGTGACAGCCGCGCAGTTACACCTCTCAGCCACCCTCCGAAGCGCCTGTCACCAGACACAGGCGAGCAGCAGCCCCCGTGGGTGGAGCTGAAAGCCTGGAAGTCACCTAGGCCACCCCACGCGCTTTCCCACTTGTGCCCACGCGCACTCCCTGGAGCGAGTGGCGGCGGGAAGTCTGAGTCAGCGAGCACCCGTGTCAGGCTCAGATCCTTGTCCCGCGTGGGAAACCAAACTGAACCGGCCCGGGGCCGTGCGACCCGGGCGGGGATGGGGTGCCGGGGTGCCGGGGGACGGAAGGGTGGGCAGTGGAAAGGGACCATCGTGGCCCCTGTTCTCTCGCCCCCACCTGCAGGCTCCGGCTCTCAGGGGCCCCGGGACTTGGGGTGCAGCTTCGGGTGGACGGAGTCCCTAGCTTCGATCCCGGGGCGCGGAGGTGGCGGGGGCACCCCCGACCTGGCACTCACCCGCAGCCGCCGCAGGGCTGCCCTGAGTTGAGGGCGGCTTCATGGAGAGGTTGCTCGCCGACACGCGTAGCCGGGGTGCTGCGAGGAGCTGGCCCTGGTGGCTGCCGCCTGGCGCTGCCGTCCGCTCGGGTGGCCCCGCCTGGCTCCCGGCCGAGTGCTCGCCCCTCGCTTGCGCCTCCACCCGCCAGCTGCACCGTCTTATAGCCACCGGCGGGGGCGGGGCGGGGCGGGGCCGCGGAGTCTGTTCCAGACGACTTAGGGACGCCCCTGTCCCCACCTCACCCCGCCCCCTGCCCCGGCCCCGCCCTCGCCACGCGCCCGCCGACTGAGAACCGCAGTGACGACTTGTGTCGCCGGAGCCCAGGTTACCGCCCCAAATATTTACCCGCCGCGTCCCCCGCCACCCTGACAACCCGACCCGCGGAAGTGTCTTTGCTGGCCTCAGGGTCCTCCAAGAGTTTATCCTGCTTCCAGCCGTCTGCCCGGGGCCTCCTTGAGCCTCAGTTTCCTCATCTATGAAGTGGAACTGCAAATGCGGCGCCTTCTCTCGCTACAAAAAGAAAGGAACCGAGGGTCTCAGGAGGTTGTACCAGCGCAGAGTCCCCACCCGATTTCCCAAGGAATTTACAAGAGTGTGTGTGGACAGAGGGGTCGGCCGCGGGCCGTCGGCTGAGGTAAACGCAGTCTTCAACGGAGGGGCTCTCAGAACTCAAGGTCCTGAACTACAGGAAGAGAGCACCGCATGGGTGCGTGCATTCCGTACTGGGTCCCCATGAATGAGCCCTCCATCCAGGCTTCCCACAGCCCAGTGCCATTCCTGCCTCAGACCTTGTGTGGCAAGTGGGTGACCACTTGCTCTTTGCCACAGATAAGAAGGGGAGGCTGAGACAAGAGAACGGGGCTTATGAGGACTGCAATGTGTGAACTGCACAGCAAAAATCCTGTCTGTAAAGGGCTTCCTGTGCAAGCATGAAAAGCTCCAAAACCCACATTAACATGAAAAGGCTGTGGAGGCTCACACCCAGCAGGAAGATCTCTGTGACTTCGAGGCCGGCCTGATCTACAAACTGAGTTCTAGGACAGACAGAGTTACTACACACAGAGAAACCCTGTCTCAAAAAACCAAATATTAATAACGGTGAAAATGATGATGATGGTGATGGTGATGGTGATGCCTAGATGTCCACCCACTTGTAATACCAGCCCCGACAGGTAGAGGTTGGAAGACTCCTGGGGCTCCCCAGCTTAGCCCAACAGGAAAACTCCAGACAATGAAAAACCCTATCTTAAAAATCCAGGTGGCCAGTGCCCAAGGGATCACATCTGAAGTTGATTTGACCTTGACAGGCACAAATACACCTGTGTGCATACCTGCATGTGCTACACACACACACACACACACTCACACACACACACACACACACCTAAATTAAATGTAAAGCAAGAAGTTGGTGGCAGCTGGGAATATGGCTAAGTGATAAAGAGCTTGCCAAGCATGGTGATCCCTAGGTTTGAGATCATCCCCAGAACCGCAAATAGGTAAATTTTTTCATAAATAAATATAAAACAATTAAAATGGAATAAAATGACAAAATTCAGTTCCTCCGTTACACCAGACACTTTCAAGTGATCGGTTGCCTTCACCACAGAATCTTTAGACAGTATTGTATGAGAATGTCTTCCCCTGGTGACTCCAGCCCTCCTAGGTGTCGGGATGTGGCATTCACTAGGTCTCATCCCCACAGCCACTGGTCTGCAGTGAGAAAACAGAGGTACAGACAGCTAAGTAGCTTGCCTGCCCATCCACAGATTAATAGAAGGCAGGCCAGTCTCCTGTTCAAGCCACTTTGGGGTTGGCCACACCCTGCCTCCTTAGGGTGGAGGAGAGCTAAGTAGCTAAGGGAGGCTCCAAACCCCAGAGCAGATAACCCAGGTCCCAGAAGCCACCAGCAAGGTACTTCCTTTCACCAGCTCTCCCCACACACCCCACACCCCTTTTCCTCTCCCCAAAAGTATTCTTTTAATTTGTCCATAGCATCCACTGCTCATGCCCTGAGCTAACAGCAGCAGCCAACCTGGGAGCTGCGTCCGAAAAGATGCCAATCACAAATTCATTTGGTGCCTGGAGCACAGTTTCTTTGTCCATCTTCCAGCTGGTGGGCAACTGGCTTGCTCCCAGCCCATCCCTGTACACAGCTCAGTGCTCACACGGGATTCTGCCCATGTGCTGATCTTGATTTCTTCCCTAAAACCAGGTAAAGGTTTAAACCCTTAGTCCCCAGTCTTCCGGCTGGGCTCCATATCCTATCCCAGGGCCTTTTATGGCCCCCAGCCACCAGACAGTGGTGACAGAGATAGTGAGTGACCTCAGTGTTCAGGTGCGAACTTGTCCCTCAAGAGGGGCAGGGAGCTGTATCCTTCTTCTCACACTGAGAGTTACCTAACTTCCAAGTTTCAGAAGGCCATTCAGTTACTGGACACATGGCCTCAAGGAAGAGACTTGATGTCGCCTTTGACTTGTGAGAGGAAAACCAGGGCTTCCTATGCTGTAAAGACCTGCTCTTTGACTTAACCAGTCTCTCCCTTGTCTACTTTGCTGTCACATAACAAAATATCCGTGTAATCTGTAAACCACAGAAATTTCTTTCTTACTATTCTGAAGGCTAGGATGCCAAAGACCAAAACCCCAGTGCCGTCTCCTGAGGACTTCCTGTATCCTTACATGACAAAAGGAACAAAGGAAACACACTGTCCCCACCTCAAGCCATTTTTTGTTTTGTTTTTTTTTTCTTTGTTGTTGTTGTTTTGTTTTGTTTTGTTTTTCAAGACAGGTTTTCTCTGTTTTGTTTTGGAGGATGTCCTGGAGCTCACTCTGTAGACCAGGCCTGCCTCTGCCTCCCAAGTGCTGGGATTAAAAGCATGCACTACTAACACCCGGCTCACCTCAAGCCCTTTGAGAGTCTGTCCCTAACTCCATCTGGGAGGACTCTATATTCCGGTGACACCGGCTCCGACGTTTGACAGAATCAAATGTGCAGTTAGAGTGCAATGTTCAGACTTCACTCCCATCCAGACACTGCAGCGCCCTCACTCCACCCCTCTCATGACTCTTTTCTAGAAACTTGTCCAGAAGTCACTCAGGAGCTTCGTCTTCCTGAAACTTAGAGGATTTTATTATCATGGCTGAACTCCGGCTCTCCCTCCTGTCTCCCCTGGATTCTTTCTTCTCCCTCTTCCCTTTCTCACTCTCCTCCCCAGGAAGTATAACTATAATTCTCTCACTTTAATTTTGTTTTGTTTTTACTTTCAGAACTGATTTTCCTGCCCTTAAATGTCTTCTACTCAATTACCCATCGGACTTCTGTCCTTGATATGTCTTCACAGACGCTCTAAGGAAGAAACTTCTAGGTGTTTCTGTAAATAAATAGGTGGACTCATGCATTCCTGAAATAGTATGTTCCCAGTAGCCTGAGCTAAGACTGGCCATGTGACTAAGTTTTAGAAAGCAGCCAGAACTAGCCCATGTGGTCTCCTGGGTGAGTCTCCTTCACTAACGTCTCTCTCCTCTGGGATAACAGGCAACCTGAGGCTGGCTTTTAGCCATGAGGTAAAGGTCACTTTCCCAGAACGGGAGCAGAAACATTTTTAAAAAGTGTCTTGCGTGTCATGAAGTGGCTACATCAACTGACCCTGGGTAACCAACATCAACAGGAGACAAAAATAAAATAAAACATCAGGGCCTGGAGATGTAGCTCAATGGACACGTGTGTGGAGTTTGTGTTCGATCCTCAGAGCCACCAGCAGTAAATGGGTAAACAGAAATGGCTATCTTGTGTGAGCTCCTGTGTGTGTGTTTGGGGGAGGGGGGAGTTCTGATGCATACAGGTGAACTTTACCCTTAATGCTTCCTGCATCAAATAAACACCATCCGAGGCTCCTCGATGCTGGTGCTGTAAATCTAAGAGACAGACTTTCCTTCCTCCTTAGGCTAGCTTGAGTCATGTTTCAGCATCTGTCCATCTGTCCATAGCACGATGACTTAGAACAGCAGGAATGTGTTCTCCTCGGAGCTCTGAAGGTGGAAACCTGGGATCACATGCTGACTGGGCTGGCTTCCTCTGAGGGCCCGCAGGGAGGGTCTGCTCCATGCTTACGCTTGGTTCCTGGGTGTGTGCAGGCCATCATTAGCGTCTCGTGCTTGTCGATGTGTCACCCAGATCTTCTGGTTGTCGCATGATATCCCCTGTATGTCTGCTTTGGTCTTACTCTTTTGTAAAGGGTAGCAACTGCGACCTTATGTGGATTAGGCTTGCCCTGACTTTGGATTGCCTCTAAAAGACCCTGTTTCCAAGTAGTCACATCTGTAGGTACTTGAGCAAATCTGCGAGTATGACACAGTTTAACGCATGCCAGAGACAGAAGCCCGAATTGACCTCCATTAATGAAAACCATGTTAAAGAAGATGAGGTGTCAAGGCTTGATATAGAGCAACGACGGTGAAAACTAGTTTGAGCTGTGGCTTGGCGGCAGAGTGCTTTGTCTCAGCACTGGTTCATTTCCGTGACTGTAACAGACTACTTGGCTCCGGATACCTTACAAGTAAAAGGTGGGTATTCCATTCACAGTTTTGCAAGCTCAAGTCCGACACCGGCCAGCTTCGCAGTTTCCACCTGAGATGAGGGTCCTTGGCTCTATCATACCATGCAGACAGCACTGTGGTGGGAACATATTCAAAAGGGAGAGATCTCACAGACAGACAAAAAGTCAATAAAACGATGGATTTGTTTATTTATATATTTATTTATTTTGGTTTTTCGAGACAGGGTTTCTCTGTAGCTTTGGAGGCTGTCCTGGAACTCACTTTGTAGACCAGGCTGGCCTCGAACTCACGGAGATCCGCCTGCCTCTGCCTCCCGAGTGCTGGGATTAAAGGCGTGCGCCACCAATGCCCAGCTGTTTATTTTTTATATCAATCCATCTTGGGGACCAGAGTTACCGGAGAATTATACTAGTCCTTTCCTAGGACAGGGTTCCCCATTGACCTAACTACATCCCACTAAATCTCACTTCCTAGAGGTCACACCTGTTGTGGAATAATAGTTAAAGATATGTTACATTTGTTTATGCTCTGGATCATTTACTTAACAATGCAAAGATGTGTTGCATTCTTTTTTAGGTTGTATTTGCATAACTCTGTGACGCTGTGCTACTTTGCTGTCTAAAACACCTGATGGTTTAATAAAGAGCTGAACAGCTGACAGCTAGGTAGAAGAAAGGATAGATGGGGCTGCCAGGCAGAGAGGATAAACAGAAGGAGAAAAAAAAATCAAGGAACAGGAGAACAAGGAGAGGAGGACACTAGGGGCCAGCCACACTGCCACACAGTAAGAGTGAAAGTAAGACAGAGTAAGAAAAGGGGAAATCCCAGAGGCAAAAAGCTAGATGGGATAACTTAAGAAAAGCTGGCTAGAAATAAGCCAAGCTAAGGCTGGGCATTCATAAGAAAGAATAAGCCTCCATGTGTGTTTATTTGGGAGCCGGGTGGTGGGCCCTCCAAAGGAGTCAAAGAATAAAAAGCAAACCACACACACCACTTCCCAGCATCAACACACTAGGGGCAAAGATCTCAATACGTGAGTCTATGGGAAGCAGCACACTGGAGCCAGACAGGGTCCAGTCTGCTAACATGAGTCTTAAGCGGCAGAGAACCTTTCCTGGCCATGCCCAAGGGAACATGTGGATGCAGAGAATGGGCTAAGGGATGGGCTGGTGCTAGTTTTGGAGACTGAAGAAGAAGCCATGAGCCAAGAAATGTTGGGGTCAGGGTGGGTTGTCTCTAGTTAGCTAAGACAAGGAGACAGAATCCCGGTTAGGGACCTTGCCAACACATTGGCTTCAGCCCAGCAAAACCTTTGATGCATTTCTTTAATGCCTTTGTTTTGTTTGGTAGTGCAATAGCTTAGGCTTGCTGGGACTCACGGGCTTTTTCCTCCCCCCTCCTGACTGCTGAGATTTCGGGAGTCTATCACCATACCCACCTCCGTGTTGCACTTCTAACACACAAGCTGTAATATCCGTATTTGCGTGGTCACTTGATGGACTATGGTGTGGAAGTGAAAGCCAAGTAACCCCTTTCCTCCCCGTGTGTTTCCCCATCACAGCAACGGTAACTTTAAGTCATTGAATGAATAAATAATCGCCACAGGCATCCCTGACACAAGCACTCGCATGAATAGAAATGACTAAATGAACACATGGGAACCAGGCTGCCAGGCCAGTAGCTCTTTGTATGGAGAGGAGAAGCATGATGCCATAACCCTGTAACCCAGGAAGTCAGGAGTCCAAGTCATAAGGCGAGCTTCAGGCCAGCCTGGGATGCATATTTAGCCCATGTCTCTAAAACAAAAGAGAACAGCAGCCAAATTGTGGTGGTCTGGAATGCAGGTCAGCGGTAAAGCATGGGCCTGGCATTGCAGGGATGAGGGCAGGAGGCTGGGGGAGGGCGGGGCATGAAAAGAATGCAAGATTCCCTTCTGAGGAATGTCCTGTTTCAGAGTCCCTGATAGAGGAAGCTTCAACATGACCATATAATTACAATGAAAAACGAGCAAGGCAGAGATACGTTCTCACTAATACAAAACAGACTGGCTGCAGGGGTTCCCAGAGTATGGAAGCAAACACTTCCCACCCACCACCATTCCCCCAATCTGTCTCTCTGCAAGCAAGAGGGGCGTTCACTGTGAAACTCCAGAACTCCCCGGTCTCTCCACTTGAAATGCTCTTCAAAAGAAACAACTACCTTTGAAGAAGGAAATGTCATAACCTAGCTTGACAACTTCTTCAACGCTAAGGCTAAGTAAGAATAGTTTGGGCACTAGAAAAGAAACAGTGACACAAAAGTCTGAGTGGCCAAAATAAAAAATGTTAAAGGAGATGGGTGTTGGTGGTGCACGCCTTTAATCCCAGCACTCTGGAGGCAGAGGCAGGTGAATCTCTGAGTCTTAGGTCAGTCTGGTCTATAGAGTGAGTTCCAGGACAGTCAGGCTACACAGAGAAACCCTGTCTTGAAAAACTAATTCACTAACTAACTAACTAACTAAATAAATAAATATTGTTTGTGATTTAATAAAACTTGCCTGAAGATTC